TGTAGTATAGGTAGTTCTCTATTTCTATGAGATCCATGTCTATAGGATCAACTCACTGAATCTCTCTAAGCATGTGTGGACTATTTTCTTGCAATTACTCTATGAGTGATATACCATAACAATTAGTTCCATAGCATTTATATTGTATTGTAAGGCATCTAGGAATGGTTGAAGTCTACAGATTATGTGGAAATATTATACCATCTTAGGGTAAAGACTTGAACATCCTGTGATTTTCGTATACCTCGCCTATACTGTAAGAATGATCTTGCTGCACTATTCACAATAACCAAGTTATGGCAACAGACCAGATACCCTACAATAGATGAGTGGACCAAATGTGGTACCTGTACACAATGAATTTCACACGCCTGTTAGAAAGAATAATATTATGTCAGTACCTTAAGTAAGGTAAACCAAGCTCAGAGAGACAAAAATGGCACATGTTTTCTCTCATATGTACAAACTAGATCTAAAATATACCAGGACATGATAAATTTTACAGGACTGTAGGCATTCACACACAGTGAGACCAAAGGAGGATACTCTTGGAGGAGGAACACAAAAACACAATGCCTATGTGCCTCTGATCATATAAAATGACATGTATTGATCTGAACGCCAGGAAATGGAAACAAAAGGTTTTTTTTCTTTGTTTTTGTTTTTGTTCTCTTTTCTTTTTGCTATTTTGTTCATGTACCTGTCTTTAGGAGGGTATGGGGGAACACAGAAATGAGGGGATAAATGCATCAGTGGTACACACTGAACACTATGTTGAAAATAAACTATACAACTTTTCAGTGGGGATAGGAGGGAAAAACCGTAAGAGAAGGGGTGGCATTGCTCAATAAGAAATGTACTTATTACCTGACTTATGTAACTGTAATCCCTCTGTATACCACTTTTGTAATAACAAATTTTGAAAAAAAAAAAAGGAAACTACAAGCCCAGTACTGAAAGCATACTACCATTCAAAATGGCTGGGATAGCTATGTGTGGATCTTGCAAGGGCCAGGAAGGTGTAAAGTAACCATATGAGAGCAGACAAGGCTTGCAGCTCCCTGGATTGTTGCTACACTTTGGACTCTAAATGCTTTGGAAGGCTCACATGCACCATCTGAGAGCAAGAGGCTTCCCCTAAGACTTTCTCCACCAAACCTTTCTGATGATCACCAAGTGTACAGAGCCCACCCAGACAGCAGTGCTTCCCTCCAGCCTGTAAGTGTCCCTTAATGAGTATTCACAAATGATTTAGTCATTGCTGATGCAGAGATGTATCTATCCAGGAAGTATGGCTTATGGCCTCCTCCTCCCCCTGCCTGTACATTCTTCTCACAAAACCCACCCTCTGCTGGGCTCCAGTGGCACACATCTGTAATCCTAACTACTCAGGAGGCTGATATCTAAGGATTGAGGTTCAAAACCAGCCCAGGTAGGAAACTCCTATTAATCACTAAAAAGAAAAGGAGAGACTCAAGTGGTAGGGAGCTAGTGTTGAGCCTGGGACAGTGCCCAGGTCCTGAGTTCAAGCCCCAGTACCAGCACACACACACACACACACACACACACACACACACACAAATGGTTTTTTTTTTAGTTTAAAAAAGGGAGATACTTGCTTTTACTTCTTTACTAAATCTTACCCATTTCTTTCATCTGTTCTCACCAAAACCATCTCTTATTCAACTCTCAAGCAGCAAAGTTTAGTCTTGAGATATGTGTGTGTGTGTATGTGTGTGTGTGTGTGTGTGTGTGTGTGAGACGAGATGCTTAGGCATTGAGCATTTGTGTTTCTCTCCTAAGAGTCTTGAGAATTCTGTAGCTTATCATATCCGAGTGCATTTAGATCTAATTTCTGCAATAGACGAGTGGATCAAAAAATGTACAGTGATACACAATGGAATTTTACACAGCCATTAGAAAGAATAAAATAAGGTCATTTGCAGGGTAATGTATGGAACTAGAACAAATCATGTTAAGTGAGGTAAGCCACGCTCAGAGAAACAAAGTCTTGATTTTTAATAGACTTCATTTTTTAAAAGAAGTTTTTTGGTTTGCAGCAAAACTGACTTTACAGGCCAGAGATGTTCCGTGGAAGGCTCATTTCCCCTTAATGATCCACCATCAACATAGACACACAGAGCTGTCTGTTTGTAACCAACATTGTCATTCAAAACCCACAATTTACCATAGGGTTCATTCTTGGTGCTGTACATTTTGTGGGTTTGAACAAATGTATAACAATGTGTGCCCACTTTTGTAGTATAATACAGAGTAGTATCATTGCCCTAAAAATCCTGTGTGTCCTGCCTGCTCACTCCCCTCCTTTCTAGGAACCCCTGGCACTCATTGATCTATTTACTGTCCTCATAATTTTTCATTTTTCGGAGTGGCACATAATTGGAATCATACAGTATGTGAACTTTTCGGATTGGCTTCTTCCAGTTAGTAGCATGCATTTACATTTTTTCCATCTCTTCTCATGGCTCTTTACTTTGTAGCACTGAAATGTTGTCCAAATGTATGGTTGTACCACAATGTATATACTTACCAATAAGGATATCTTGTCTGTTTTTAATTTTTGGAAATTAATAATAAAGCTGCTAACAACATCTGTGTGCAGGTTTTTGCAGAGACATAAACTTTTCAACTCCTTTGGGGACATTTCAAGAAGCATGTTTACTGGAGCTTATAATAAGAGTATGTTTACTTCTAGCCACTGAATTATCTGTGGCTGTTCCATTTTGCATTCCCACAAGCAGAGATCGGGTGGCTGTTGCTTCACTGCTTTCCCAGTACTGATGTTGTCTGTGGTCTGGGTTTTGGCTATTCTCATAGGCATGATATAATCATATCTCACTGTTGACTTAGGCTGCATCCCCTTAATAATGTCCAATGTAGAAAACATTTGCTATGCTTATTTACCTACTATTTTCTTTGATGAAGAGACTCTTCCGTTCTTCAAACTATTTTAATTGGATTATTTGTTTTCTTTTACTTCCTTTTAAGATGTCTTTATTTTTCTGTTAACAGTCCTTTATCCTATGCACTTTTAAAGAAGATTTTTCTCCCCTAGTCTGTGGTTTTTCTTTTTAATAACTTGACCTAATGGTTATTGCCAAATCCAAGGTTGTTTAGCTATTTTACTATTATTTTCTTAGATTTTAATAGTTTTCTGTACAAGTCTGTAAGTCTGAGTTAATTTTTATGTCTTGATAGTACTGGGGTTTGAACTCAAGGCCTCATGCTTGTTAAGCCATACCCCTCCCCTTATCTTTAGTTAATTTAGTATATAAGTTAATTTAATATATGTAAGATCTCTCTCTCTCTCTCTCTCTCTCTCTCTCTCTTGATTTTTTTCCATGTAGATGCCCAATTGTTTCAGACAGTATTAAAAATACTGTCTTAGCTGAGCATGGAGTTAATGCCTGTAATCCTATAGCTACTCAGAAGGCTACGACTTGAGAACCTCAGTTTGAAGCCACCAGGGCAGACAAATCCATGAGACTCTTACCTCCAATTAATCAACAAAACTCCAGAAATGGCGGTGTGATTCAAGTGGTAGAGCACCAGCCTTAAGCAGAAAAGTTAAGGGAGAGTGCAAGGCCCTGAGTTCAAGCCTCAGTACCAGCACACATACCAAAAACTCTTACCTTTTATCCACTATGTTTCCTTTGTTCCAAGTAAAGTTCAGTTGACTATAGTTGTATGGGTCCCTATTCTGGTTCACTGATTTGTCTATTCTTCTACCTATATCAAAATATACATCACAAAATTGAGTAGAGATCAGCTTCCAAATTCATTCTTTTCAGTAACATATTGGTTACTTTGGATCTTTTTCTCTCTTTTTAAACTAAAGTAAAAGTTTGTTGATGCCTTGAATATAATTTGCAAGGATTTTGATTGAGATTGCATTGAATTTAAGAAGAATTGGTGCCTTAATAATAGTGAGTCTTTGTATCCATGAACATATAATACCTTCTCCTTTTATCAGGTTCTTTGATTTCTTCCATCAGATTTTTGTAGATTTCTTCACAAGGTATTTACATATTTCTTCAGATTTATAGCTGAGTAATTCATTGAATAGCTAAGTGTTTAGGTTTTGAGCATGCTATTGGTACTGGTTTGTAAATTTCCAATTTCTGGTACATACCAAAGTGATTGAATTTTGCGTATTAACTTTGTATCTTGCAACCTTTTTTCATTCCCTAAATCTTTTAACATCCCTTTCTTGTTTTAAATATTATTGTAAAGGTGATGTGCAGAGGGGTTACAGTTACATAAGTCAGGTAATGAGCACATTGAACAGCATCACCCTCTCTCTCATTATCTTGCAGCTTTAACAATGACTGTTGGTTTATTAGTTCAAATTCATTGTTGTTAAATTCGATTTTCTTCATGGATAATCTTGCAGTCTGAGAAGAAGGCAGTTTTATTTCCTCCTTCACAATCCTCATACATTTTATTTCCTTTACTTGTCATATTTCACTAGCTGAGATGTCTAATTCCTAGTCCCAGTTGGGTCAGGAAAAGAAAGAATAAGTCAGACCGGGCCCATGAAGGCCTGGGAACTGGGGCATTCCATGGTTCCATCTTAGAGAAGTGGGCAGATGAGAGCACACTGAAATAAAGTCAGTGAGTAAGGTCTCTGCAGAAATCATCTCTGAGGCACAGACAGTCCTTGGGCTGCGGGGAACATTGTCCCCCACTGGCCTTCTGGACCAACACAAGCAATCCAGCTGATTCTATCTATCTATCTATCTATCTATCTATCTATCTATCTATCTATCTATCTATCTATCTATCTATCT